GCCTCCCGGGGTGCACTGTGCTGTGCTGTGGGAGGAAATGGCACCTGTGATCCCCCCCAGAAAGTAAAGGGGGGTGACCTGGCGGAGGGGGAGGCAAAAACAAAACGAGCTGGGTAAAAAACACAAAACACCCAGCAGTTGCCAGGCAGGGCGTTCTGGGGACTCCCCCAAGAAATAACAAATGGTTCAGGGGTGGGTGTGCTTCCAACGCCCCCCCCCCAAATACGATTGCACAAAAATGTTCCCTGGCTGCTTTTAAATGCAGACGACTCGATTTTCAGCTAGCTAGTTTCTTTTGTGACAATTTGTGTATCTCCATAGAAAAGATGGGGGAGTGGGGGATTGAGGGCAGGAAGGAGTGATTGAACCACCTTAAAACCAAATCCAAATAACACAGTGGGACATTGTAGTGACCTCAGAGTCACCACTAAATGGCAATAAAATGATGCAGACAGCCGACACTGAGATGAAACAGTAGGAGAGTGGATGCGTCATGAAATGCAGACAGAAATTTGTGAGATGATGTGAGATCATTGGCACAGCGGTGGGAAAGACCAATGCAGATTGGACCACAGATGTTACCTTGGCCTCCCTTCCTTGGGATGGACAAAAGCCAGCTGGAACTTATGAAATATCCCTTCCTTGGTTCCTGGTCTGGCTAGAGAACCACTAACAGGGTGTCCAGGTCTTTTAAGCCTTCTTGCCCCGGCTGGGTGGGTTTCCCTTCATCCAATCCTGAGGCTGGGGAGTGATGTCCCTCATGGGCCACTCGCTACTCTTTCTTCCAATCAACTTGGAGTGTACATCCCTCTCTTTTATTGCCCCACTCAGGTAATCCAAACAGCTGTCCATCTTGCCCCTTCCTGGCAGTGGGGCAAATGGGTATCTCCTTGCAGGTACTCAGCCGGCAATTTAAGCAGTCTATTACTCCCTTCATTGGGAAAGAGCATTCTTCCCTGAGATTCAATTCTTCTTGGTATAATTCAGTACCACCTTGGGCACACATTCCCGTCACAGCACCCTCAGAATCCCATCCAAGATTGCATGGAAACCTGGTGTACACTGGTTGGGATTGCATGCTGCAGCCTCTTAGGACTGAATAAAACTCTTGTCTCTCCCTAGTCCCCTGGTAGCACCTTGTTGCAATTAAGGGCCTGGATGGGAGATCTCCTTGCTATCCCATGTACATTGCCTCAAATTCCATGGAAGAAGAGACATGGGATCTAGATCTTATAATAGATCTTCTGGGGGGGTTTATTGTGGCAGTTATGCTCTGGATCATGAGAGATCTCTGCAGATCCTGTTTTTATTCATTTAATATATTTTAACCTTGCCCTTCCACTGAAAGGGCCTTCAAGGCAGCTAGTGGGAGGACTGACCTGAGGTACATCATGGTTCCTTCTTGTTGTTGAAGAGCCTGAAAACAGTACCCATTTGCTTGATCATCTATAAGGTGGCCTCCATTTTCTCCAGGGGAACTGATCTCTGGTGTCTGGAGATGAACTATAATTCCAGGGGATCCTGAGGTCCCACCTGGAGGTTGGCATCCCTAATTGCTGTTTTTATTATACTTTGCAAATGAATCAGAGT